CTGCGATAGGAATTTTTCATCTGTGGCAGATGGGAATTTCCTTAGATCAGTTTCGAACATTCTGCCGGCTACTCCGAATTAGATTTTCCTGCAGTTTTCCTAATTTGTAAGGTAAATATCGGAGTAGTATAGTCACTCTGTAAAATTGGGCGTAAGCCTGTTGGGGGGCCTAGAACAAGAGGGACAATAAATACATAAACTCTTGAGGGTTTTCAAACATCATTTACATTCGTATGATTTTTTAGTTTCTTCTGATTTTCAAGTTTTCTATTCGCCCCAATCTTCAGATTCTTTAAATCCTTTAATTCCATAAGGTATCTCGGATTTTTTAGTCTTCTTTAAACGTTTGTAATTTTTCAGATTCTTGGAATTCTTTGGATTCTTCTTCCGATTCTTCACATCCATAAAATTCTTCAGTTAGGTACATTGTTATTCTACATACCAGGTACAACTCTAGTTTGACTGTAGCAGTTTTATAATGACGCGTTTATAGCTAACCAGTTTTGTTTCCAATCGGACGAAGCGCAGACTTGACTCAAAAGAAAAAAAACCTGTTCCAAAGGGAGGAGAATTTAGTCGCATTGTTTTATTGATGTAAGCGGTAACAGTAGCTGGCCTATCATTTCGGAAATCACGAAACAAAATTCCCGCACCTCTTCAACTGAATACAAACCCTTCTTTCATTGGAGGATAAAAATAGAACATTGAATATTAATATGAATTTTTATATATACAACGCTTGTTTCATACAATGTAGAGTAAAAAGCAGTTACATTATATTGAAAGAAATGTAGCCCGTTACATTACTGAGGTATACGATCTACTCAAACTTCTTCCAAAATAATCCAAGGCCTTCATTATAAACAAAACTTGAGCCTTTTGTAAACAAATAACAAGCGAAATCAATACAGCAAACAATACGCTGCAGGTTGAAGGATTTATAGTGGATTACCTATTATAATAAATTGTTTATTTTTTTTTTTTTATTTTTTTTTTTTTATTTTTACGCTGCACTTTTGGGCGACCATTAATAAATGGAAAGTTTTCATGTTATGAAAAAAATCTAAAAACATAAAACTATGAAGAGTGGTATATATATTAGTATACATAATGCTTTCCATTAAAAAAGTGACCCTTTTAGTTCTGTAGAGGTACGCCATTGTAAATCTTGTTTACACATGTAAATTTTAAAAAAATTTTTTAATGATTTTTGATACATCACTAACAAAACAATGATCAACGCAAATTATATAACTAAATGTAAAGCTAAACTATTTTCCTTAATTTCAATTTTTCTGTTAAATTTTGTTACGTAATATAATAATTTTGTCGCGTTTCGATATCGAAAAAGCTGTGCACGTTAATAATACAATAATAAAACAATAATAAAAAATGTTGATTGCTGCCCCCCTTGACTTTGCAGACGTACCCCACTGACTACAATTTTAAAGTATGTACATTAGTAGCAAAATTTTTATAATTTTTAAACTTCTTTTAAAAAAATTTATATGCCGTGTTCCAGAAAATATTTTCAGCCTATGTGCGAGGAAGTAGGTATTGGGAAGATCTAATAAGCTCTAACGTTCCTGATTAATACGGTTTCCTTAGAAATCTAAATGTTTTAAAATAGTGTTGTGTAAACTACGTCATGTAGACGTTATTTTGGCTTCAGCACATTTTAACCTTTAACGAATAAACACAAAGTGTGATTGTTTCGTTTGAATTTCTATATCAGTGTTTGTTTTTCCTTTTAGAATGTAGGTGTAATCTTTTTCTGTTTAAATTTTATCGCTTGCCTGCGTGGTTTGTGTTAAAACAAGATCTGAATGCTTTTTTCTCTTCCAAAATTGTTGTTCTCTTTTTTGCGGAATAAATTTTTTTGTTTGTCAATTAATTGTGTTTAATGGAACCTAAAGTGCGACCAAGATAGAGTTTTCATGTCAGATTTTTTTATTTGTGCCCCAGAATTATGTCAGGTATTTACAAATTAAATTTCTTTATTTAATTTTTTGGAATTGTTGGGAGCTGATGGAGGTCACAGTGTCCTTTAAATTAATAAAACTGAAAGTCAACATTGGGATTTTTCTTATTTTGAGCTGCTGGACAGTTGTTTTGTGGGTGGATTAGTGACCTTTGAATTTATTGAACAAATAGTTGATAGGTACGTGTAATAGTCTATTTTATAGTAAATACTTATCACAAATTCTTCATTAGAGATGAGGAATACCTACTGTATATTTTGGCACAAATCCGGCACAGAACAATGCAGTATCTTGCATATCACATTTCTTGCCTTTCAAACACGCAAATTTCCTTAAAGAAGAATGGCTCAGTTTTAATACAAGAAATGCTTTTTATTTCATAGTTCTGCTTGAACATGATTTACTAAAAATGCTCAGGCGCATCCGTTTTGGGGGTTCAGGGGGGATCGTTTCATCGATTAATATATCAAAAATATTTGGAAACAGATTCCTTTTCTTTTGAGCTTAGACAATCCAAGAAACAGGAGTATGCATTTTTTTAATGACCGCATGTAATCCTCCCTTCCCAATTATTTTGCATGAGAGAAAAAGGTATGAAAGCATTCTCTTACAAATGTATACAGGGTGGGTTTTTATTTCAGTTTCACTATGGGGATCTCGTAAACCGTAAGAGAGCAGAGTCGCTGAAATAGGCAAAATCATACAGAATTTTATGCTGATATATGTTCCCATTCAAAGCTACAAGAAACTATGGAAGGTAAAATTAATGAGCAAAAAATGCTGCATAACTTTGCCAATTTAAGGGACTTTGCATCTCTTGCGGTTTACGAGACCCTACAGTAAAAATGAAAAAAAACTCGCCCTGTATATTGCTGTGTCCAATGGTATGCGGTCACTATACCACTCACAAAACACCTGTCCAGCTAACACAAAGCAAAGCAAAATTGGAGCTTAGAATTTCATCATCTTTCCTCGTACACATCCGGCATCTACTAAAAAAAATCCTAACTTTTCATTTTGAGAGACTCGGTGGTCTCGATCTACTTGAGAAAATTCTAAAGAATTTTGATTTAACACCTCAAATAAATCTTGGGCGCGAATAAAAAATCTGATATGAAGGAAAGGATTCGAATAAACACACAATTAATTGATTGACAATGACAACTATTTATTTCGTAACACACGAAACAATTAAAACAAAATCCCTGCAAGAAAGAAAAGCTTACAAAGAATGTTTGAATACCCCGCACTGAAACGGTCGATAATAAAACATAAAAAACCTTAAATTACTTAATTTTTTTTCTCACTCGCTGTCGACTTCAGGCCACTATATTTCTTCTTTTAAATCAAAGATTCGCACTGGCTTGATAACAAAGTGAAACATTTTCGGTGGCTGCTCTAGAAACTTGACAATAACTTTAATTTTGATTTAAGATTGCTTAACTTCTTCTGTACTCTTTAATCCGAAACCGACGAATTGCATCTTCAGCAAAACAACTAAGGCAGATCAGGCAATCAGAATTACACTTGATAAAGCCAGTTTCGAAAGAACGCGTCCCCACTTACGCCGAAATAACGCGAATTTCTTCGAAACACCTTATCTCTTCTAACAGCGATATTAACATGCGCGTTAATTAAATTTCGCCCGATAAAAACTCCTTATCGCATACAACCAGATAAAACCTTTTATAAACTTAACCAGATGTGCCCAACATTTTAACACGCAGTTCCACGCTTTACACTGAATGGAATTTTTATGGGTATGTTCTTTCCAAATCTGTAAGAAATTGTCACCTAACTACCCTAAGATTCTTATTTTAACGGAGGTTGACACCTGGGACATCAAAATACCCAAATCGTACTTAGTTACTGAAAATTAAAAGAAAAAAGAGTTGAAACTCTTAACGTTAAATGAACTTGTATGCAAATCCTGTGCGATAATTCTTTTCTTGTGTTTATAAAGGACTGTACAAAGAAAATTTTAATGTTTGTCGACATAGTCCCCAAAACGAAGCATATCTGACCATTCTTTATTCAGAGTGTCTATAGTCATTTCTATCTCTGTTGGTTTTACAATACTCTTATTTCCTGTCATTTGCATAATTTAAAGCAAACAAAATAAGATAAGTGTCGTCTACATAATTTGTTCACAAATTTTGAAATGATTAATGTTACATGGGACGTTGGTTGCCTACTAGTTATTAGTTTACATTGACTATTCCGTGGGTTTTCTGAATAGCCCACTGAGCCCTTATTTAGGTAGCTAGTCCAGTCCGCCACCAATTGGTGACAAACTGATTATGCCACATTTCAGCACAAACATAGTCTAATGATTTGTGCCACAGATGCTTTGAATCATGATGACACCTAGCTAGTATACATTGTTATAATCCGGTTCACTACTCAGAAAGTATTGCGGATATAGGTGGCATTAATTTTTATAGGAGTATTTTGAACGATTATCCGCATTAGAGTTATCAGAGATGATAAAAGTAGAGGAGTTCTTTGCCCCCTTTCTAGCATGGCATTAAGGTTTAAGTCCTAACTAGTACACATAAAGTTCTTCCACGCTATGATTTTTTCATCTAAACTCTTTTTTGTGGAATCATTGACTAGCTAAATTGATGTTCGCATGTTTTTCATCAAAAGTCAACAATTGAGGTTATCATCAAAGTCACTCATCGAAAATGGGAGCAAACTGTTATCTTTGTTCCTTGTATGTTTAGCGTGTTAAAGTGAAAAGCAAAGTTGTAAAGTCACAATGGACGATTTGTCAACTGTAAGAGTGGTGCGTGTTTATAAATACCACCCTTAATCAAGCCTAATCACGAAAAAAGCATTGGGCAGCACACTATTACAAGTGTACCTCTGCAGACCCATTAACAGTTTATTTGTACCACGATCCCGGTCACGAACCTGCCGTTTCCTCTGTTAGCTCACCCCAGCCAAGAGATCTTACCAACATCCGCAGAACGTGTTGTAAATGCTGATAAATAAAAGTCATGAAAGTGTGACAAGTTTAATGAATCCAACTAAAAGCATATTCGCGGCAATTAACCCACTAAATTCGTCTTTTAGCGGTCGAACGCTCTATAAAATCCCTTAAGCGATCCCAATTTTCCCGTTTGTAGACGTCCAGTTTCTCCTTGCTAATCGAGGACGTTAAGCAACAGGCGGAGTACGTCGGCAGCACCTTAGGAAAAATCGTCCTCCCATGAGCGGACGCCTTACGCACATCGCTTTCGCACGGATTGTTGATGTAGGTCCAGGAGCTGCCGCCGTGTTGGTAATTTTCTTTAATTTTGCACGTATCCGCGGTAGCGGTAGCTGTTGTCGGACGCGCTTTTCCTGGCGCGTTGGCCGCCGATTTTCCACCAGTTGCTAACCGGCCGGTATCGCAAAAGGTTGCCGCTTTATATACAAAGTCGGTCGTATCGCTCGCGTTCGCGTAGTGAAATTTTTCTAGTAATTTTCTTCTGTCCTGATCGCTCACATTTTGAAATGATCCAAGGTAGGCCAACCTAAAAAAAGTTACCAATTAGTTCTCTAATCTTTTTTGAGGGCTTTAATTACTTTAATTATTTCCGGATATGCAAATAGAAAACCAACCCCGTGCGCCTTGTCGTAAACGCATATTTACGTTATACTCGCAAATGGAACCGAATTAGATTTAATTTTGTCGTAAATCATTTCGGTAGCTGCAGATGCGGCTACTAACTTTTAGTGTTACGGTTTGTATTTAATTTAAGCCCTTCCTCTACATACCAGTGCCATTCATTTCAATTCTATTTTAACGCAAATATCAAGCAACAATACAAGGCCGGACGAAATACTGGACAATAAAAAATAATTCAATTTATTTAAAACACATTGAGCAATAAAAAAAAGTCTAATTTTAAAACATTCTCAGACACTGTAAATTGAGGGACACTTTCCATGATCTACACCTTCGATTAGAGCCCAAAATATCGTTCTAAATTATGCACACTACGTTTCACAATTATTGTAAGGTTCAATAATGAAAAGGGAATTAATCACCTCTATTTGTCTAGGCCTTAATGACAAAAAAAATGAGCAGGTTTCATTCACTTTAAAAATTGGCAAAATGCTCATGACCTCCAGGCTTTCGATACATAGGCATTTTTCATTATCCATGGTGATATGAATATTCACTATCCACGAAATCTTATGTCAAGGTACCTCTAAATTAACACTGTAAGATACTTACTTGCAAAGTACACGTTATGTAACAAATCAATAGACATGTACTTTACCCGTGTATTTCAATTTTAACTTTCCATGATTTACCTTCTGTCTGGAATGTCTCATAATGTATTAATATTTGATATGTTACGTGAATTTCAAACTGTAAACACAGCTACAAGGTAAACGCAATTGTGCAACAGTAGCAAAGCAGATATGCAAATCTGGTCCCAATTGCATATCTCAATACCGTAACTGTAAAGATGAATTTCATTGTGTGGTATTGTTATGCATCAACAGGTATGTTTTTGTCGAGGGGCTGACCACTGCGCAAAATTGTGTACACCACATTTGCCATTTTCCACATTCGCTCAACATTTGCTACATTTGCCAGACATTTGCTACATTCGCTATAAATTTACCAGAAATTTGTTACATTTGCTCATCATTGAGGTACTACATACATATATATGTACAAGCATTTGCGCGGGTCATTTGGTAATTGAAATATGATATCACTTAAGTGATAAACAACAATTGAATATTTTCTAGAAGACTCATAGAGGTTAAAATGTGGTCAAGAAAGTGGAAATATGATGCTGATGCATATTTTTATATACCTATGTGGTCTATGGTCCCGAACTTATAAATTAAGATGGACTGCTGATCAAACAGTTGCATAGAGGACAGAGGTAGAAATGGCCCTAGCATGGGCGCCGCCATGATGTGCACGTTTTAGTTATTTTCTAGGGAATTTTTCCTAGTGCTCAAGTTTGGAGACTATTGCAGCCTTGGAAAATGACGTGTCACAGTAATTTATTTAGAAAACGACAATTTCCGAAGAAAATTCAAAGGGCTGTAACTTTTGAAGTAGTACCCCAATCTTGGAACTGTTTCAAATTATGGATTCTACAGGCCACATTCTATAAGAAAATTTTTTTTCCGGGTCGATATAAGACATTTTTTTTTCGGGGCTCTAAAAAAGGCAGTGTATAACCTTCCTTTTTTACCAAAAATCGACTACACCAAAATTTCTCGTTTTGGTGCTTAGACCGTTTACATGGCGTTTATACATATCCTCTTTTAAATTGAACATAAAACCAAAACTTCATCCTCTTTGAATACAAAAAATGATCAAAGTCCTCGTGTGAGATCGAAGGGACTTCAGCGTATTTTTGTGTGGCAGATCAGTATTCTATTAGCCACTTTTTTTCCGGGTCGATCTGAGACATTTTTTTTTCGAGCCCCAAAAAAAAGGCAGTGTATAACCTTCCTTTTTTTACCAAAAATCGACTACACCAAAATTTCCCGGGAAACACTTTTTCTTATTAATTTTGGTGCGTACAATCCAAAACAATTCGTACTTTTTCGATCAGACTTCTCAATCAAAAGTTATAGACTAGAAACTAATTTCGAAAGAAAATTCAAAGGGCTGTAACTTTTGAACTAGTTCCGAAATTTGCAAAGAAGTAGCTACACAAATTTTGATTTAAACAGTTGACCCAATTCTTGGACACGAGAAGAAAAATCTGACATGAAAACTCTATCCGGGTTGCACAAAGGATTCTAATAAACATATAATTTGACATTGATTGACAATGATAAAAATTTATTCCGAAACATTATGAAGTAAAAATCCCGTAAGAAAGGAAAGCTTACAAAGTTTGTTTGGACATTCGACAAATTAAATAATAAACTCTTTAAATTTCTTACAGTTTTTTCCTCTTTTAATAATCCTAAAACTACACTCACAAACGCTGACAGCTTCTGAACTTCGCTTTTCCTTAACACACAATACGTGATGAATAAATGACATTACTTTGGAAAATGAAATGAGGAATTGTTGGTGGTAACAGAACAGAACAGAAGGCTACACCTGCTTGCTTTTTTAACTTGACAAACTTTTTATAAACCGACAAACCGCTTTAATTAACTTGCTTCTGCACAAAATTATTATAATAAAAATAAAGTACGTCCTCAACTAATCAAACCGTGTGGACAAACCGAATAAAGTAAATAGCGCATAAACGTCTTCCAACCGTCGCGAACCAGCAAGTCTCGTTTTCCCGTAAATTAGTATTTAATACAACGCCACTTCCACAATAAAATAATCTCCTTTCTCAGGATCTTTGAAAAACATCACGATACATAATTAAACTTAATAACGGTAGTTTCGACAGAACGCCGAAAATAACGCACACATCATAAACATCAGCGAATAACTGCGATAAGAACCGGTGCGTTAATTCAATCTGGCCCGTTAACAAAACCTCTTATCGCAAACGACCGAATCTGCGTTCATTTTAACATTCAATTTCTCGTTTTACAATTAAATAAACAAATCTAAATAAACAATTTACAAAGCGATAGATTTTAAACAAAAAAATAATACGCAATTAAAAACAATTCTAAAAGGAAAAATAACACCGAGACGTATTCAAATGACACGAAATAACAAAATATCCTCTCCCAGATTTACTTAATAAAATGAAATATTCCCATATATAGGGCGTCCTATCATTATTTTTGGTGCTTAGACCGTTTACATGGCGTTTATACATTTCCTCTTTTAAATTGAACATAAAACCAAAACTTCATCCTCTTTGAATACAAAAAATTATCAAAGTCCTCGTGTGAGATCGAAGGCACTTCAGCGCATTTTTGTATGGCAGATCAGTATTCTATTAGCCACTTTTGACTCAACCATCAATAACAGATCTTGTCGAAGGCTACTACATTCACTTTGTCGGTACCCGCTCCCCACTTTCCGCGTGCACCCACAATTGGCGTTTAAAGTTTTGACTCCACCATCAGTAAAATCTTGTCGGGGGCTACCATATTCCCTTTGTCGGCATCCACTTCCGATGTCCCGTTCCCTTCCAATGCGCGTTTGAAGATTTGGCTCCAACATCAGGAAGATCGTGTCGGGGGTTACCGCATTCCCTTTGACGTCACCCACTTCCGACGTCCCGTTCATCCGCAATTCGCGTTTGAAGGTTTGACTCCACCATCAGGAAGATCGTGTCGGGGGCTACCACATTCCCTTTGACGGTACTCACTTCCGACGTCCCGTTTACCCCAAATTCGCGTTTGAAGTTTTCACTCCACCATCAGTTAGATCTTGTCGGAGGTTACCGCATTTCCTTTTTCGGTGCATACTTATATTACATCCACATTTTGGTGGATTTCGCTAAAAACCTTCCACAAGATAGTACTTAATTTTTGGGGCACTTCTCATTACTTAAGCATCTATTGGCGACACGAGAAAGAGAGATGTGTACTTCAACTTTGTCTTATATAGGATCTTCAACTGCTTCTTCTTTTTCAATACCTTTATCTTCGACTTCTTGTTTATAATTCTCAACATGTGTGTACACTTTCTTCGTAGCTTGACCATCGGTTCATGCTCATTATCAGCAAACATAATTTCATTCCGTTTTTCTTGACTCGTATCTTCTATCGACCTTACTAGTTTTATGTCTTCTTTCCGTTTTGGCTTTAGTTTAATCAGAGTTCCTCAGTGTTTAGATCGGCTTCCATCGCTACCTCGGTCTCTTTTTTCATTGTGCTCTCATTTCGTTCTCCAGATCCATTTTACGTCGTCATCTATTGTTTTCTCCTCTACATCATTTTGTTTCTTCTTCTACACCATTCGTTTCTTTTACCTGTTCGTACCCTTCTTTTACCTTATCGAGTTCATTTTTGCTAGCTTCTAATGTACTATCTTTATTATTAGTCTCTTGCACTTCTTTCTTATCTCCCATGTCGGTCTCCTTCGCCTTTTCTGTTCCACACCCCTCTGGCATCCACGTGTTCCTCCTTTGATTTTCGTCCGTTTTCAGTTCAGCTCATCCATTATTTCTATTAATCTCTTCTACCGTCGTCTCTGAGATCGTCATCTTCATTAATTCTTGCTTTCTTGAACGACGTTTCTCCTCTTTTAAAATCCCTTCCTGTTAAAACCCTACCTATAATTAACACTACCCACCCCTGTAATTAATCCTTATCAGTGAATGTCTGGGTACCAACGATAATTTAACCGTACGACAAAAACTACCGCGATTTGAATTTAAATTAAAAAAAAATTACCTAAATTTAAATAAAAATTATTCATAATTAAATAAAAAATTAGAACAAAATTTCTATAAGAAAGAAAAACTTACAAAGCTCGTTTGAAGATATTACTCCGCACGCAGGCGTTTGAATAATGAAATAAAAAATCTTAAAATTACTTACACTTAATACAGTGACAGGGCGTTCCGTAATATTTTTTTGTGCTTAGCCCGAAAGAACGACTGCAGAGGGAAAATATTTCACGGGCGAACATGTCAATAGCAAATACTTCGGGAAGAGACATACCAAGGGAGTTTATCCCAAATAGAATAATCGAGGGGTTAAGGATTTCATTCAACCGAAATCTGTGAATTGTTTCTAGGAATCGCGTTTATAGTGCGGTGCATTACCGAAATTCAGTCTATAAAATCCACAAAATGAAAAGATTTAACAACCACTTCTCGAAAGTAACTGTCATGGTGGTTTTTCGGGAAAAAATAATCGATTCCTCTTGTGTGTGGGGGTATTCCGGACGTCGTTGGTGCTAGATTCTTCCCAAAAACGTCCATCTCTTACAACTCTTGTCGAAAGAATGTCTTCCAGAATGGCCATACCTAGAAAATGATCATAAAAATAGGAGAGGGGGGGGGTGTTCTTTTCAACGAGCCCAAGATATAAATTTAATAGTGCAAACGGAAATCTCATGAAGGGTTCCTGCATGTATAATTGTATTGATTAAAAATTTTAGTGATTATTATCCTCAATAATTAATTCAATTATTCTCCAAAATTTTAGTGTTTCGGAGGATTTTCATGTAAACTTTTTTCTTCTAATTCACTTTCGCTAAATTACTCTTTGTTAGTTGTGATTTGGAAAATCTATATTATATATATTAAACCGAGGACGAAGTATTTATTTATTTATATGCCTTTATTTACAAGTAATGAGTGTATGTAGTTTATGTAAATCGATATCCAACTAAGGTCAAAGCTGATTGATTTCCTTCCCGTTTATGTGAGACCTATTGTATTATGGCTTAGGTTCCTTAGGGTACACGAAAAGACTGGACAGCAAAGGGCACCATCTCCTAAAATGGGCTAAGAGTGTGTTTCATTTTATACAAGAAGTTGCAAATAATTTTGGATTGAATTAGATTTTAAGCGAACAAGTCGCTCCATCCCTTATTTTTGCAAAATGAAAATTTTGTTTTTCAGAATCCCTGGCTGCTTAGGGACTGAGGATACGAGTACGACTCCAGCCCAAAGTTTTTGTAATAATCAAGAGGATAATTAGGGATGAATAATAGTTCGCAAATGTCCTCCTCTCACAACTAATTCTTGGTGGATGAACTTTTCCCTTGACTCGTTGCAACACTATAAAGAAAGACGGTGGTCTTCATTTGCGAAAGGGCACAAAAAAAGCAAGACACTCGTATTTTAGAGCGCAGAACGGAATAGGGGATGCCCAAAGACATTTTATAGAAACAAGGTTATCGCGTAACCAACCTATAGGGCTTATGTAGTTACAATGTAAATGCTACTATCGGTAATTTAAACACGACCCTTTGAATAGAATATACATATGCCTACCTGCTGACCTACCAATACGAGAAATCAATATGCACGCGTTTCAAGCAAACATATCTATCGACTTAAAGTCATACACTATAAATACTTACAGTAAGAAAACCACGTCGCTAATGACGATATCGTTTTAACAATAAGAAAAATTTGTACAGTACCTACTTACAATGGAGATGAATGTCCAAAGAAAGGCATTTAGGCTTCTTTTTCACGGAATAATTTTGTCACTGTCACTAATTGATTTTTGAAGGGTAGGGGTTAGATTCTACTGTCATTTGAACAGCTTCAGACTGCAGATCATTAATAAAATCAAAAAGCGGAAATTTCTGTTATTGTTTTAAGTGCGCTCTAAAAGCAATAGTTTAAAATATGAGAATTTACATTCAATTTGATCAACCTTTGTCTCATTTAGCTATTTTAGAATCGTTTTTTCACATCTTTAATGCTGTCCTTTGATTTCGTTCACAAAAATGATGTTGAATATTCTTAAACTAAATTACTCTAAGATTTTTGCAAATAGAAACCCTTTAAGACGGTTGACTGTTAAATAATAGGACAGGCGCTATAAAACGGTTTTATTTCCATTCGAATTTTGCATTTTTGGAAGCAGTGGTCCAATTGCAGTCAAGAGTTTTAAATCGTGAATCCTTTAGTAACGATTTTTGGGAATAAAATAGTCACACGACGATGTTATCTTGACGTAGAAACCGTTTTTCAGAGTTTAGTCCTCTGGAATCCACTCGATGACGGCTTGAAGGTTGTAGAAAACGATCACCATTGCCTTTTTTCCCTCTTGGTCGAAGAAGTAGCCTTCCATTGACTGGCGAGGCATATTGAAAAATCTGTGTCTCGTGGAAAGTTTTAATATTTTTGGGAAAATCTGGTTCCCCTAAGATGGTTTCCAAAATGTCAGACTAAATCGTTTTTTGCGTTTCTTTTTGCTAAAATTAGAGAAGTAGCAAAGGTTACTTGCAGAAAACCGATCCAAAGAAACACAGCTGGAAGCCCGTCATAGAGTAAAAGATCAAATCTGCTTCTTGCTCATGCGTAAAACCAAGATTTGAGTCCATGGCTATCACTTCCGTGGATTCAGAGTGGAGCATTTCCATTAGGGGTAACAATATTCGCTGTGATCATCTGAAGTCGGTCGAAACGAAGAGTGCGTAAATAGGCGGATGAATTTCTGAAGAGCCAGCGAAACTGCCATGTCGTCTCTACGGCTTTCGGGGCCAAAGATACATTAAAAACCTACGTGTTAATCGAAGGTGATCAGGATCACTCGATTAGGGGATGTAGAGGTCACCCATCTAGAGCGTCGTTTTGACGAATTCACGAACCTGGAGCGAACATGCATTCGTTTGGGCAATCGAAAACTCGCACAAAAAAAGGGGAACATTGCGAAAGGTTTTATAGATATTCGATGTAAGGAATTAGGCCTATACGAGCCTGTTTGCCTCATATCTTGTTACATTATTTCACTTTTATTTATTTATTGTCCCTCTTGTTCTAGGCCCTCAACAGGCTTACACCAAATTACAGAGTGACTCGAATATTGCTTTTAAGAGGTGCCCCAACATTGTTAACTTGTACGTGGCCACGTTCTATTTGTCTTTTAAACAACCCCCATAAATAAACAAAGGAAAAATATGAAATATCTACGTTTACACATAAATTTAAAGTCTTAACTTTTATACATACATAATTAACTCAGAAAATTTTAAATGGAAACCTTTTTACTTTCAAAAATGTTTCTATTTCAAGTTTAAACATTAAAGTTCTACTTGCCAAATTTCTAGATAGGCACGGTCCGTACCCTGGTCCGTACTGAATACAAAAACAACAAGTATAAATTGTGCACAACTCTTGTGCAGATAAAGCGCATTTTTTTTAACCGAAATAGCTTTGGTTTTGACATCATCAATGAATATACTTCTTGCAGACGTCGCAATCGCCCTTTGTGAGTACCCTCTTCCGACAATCCGTTATTGAGGTATAAGGGAATATACCCGATCGCGATAAGAAGTCGAGGAGGCGGGCTATGGTTGGTAGAAAACAGTTCCTTTCTTTGAGACCTTTAATTAGAATACAATGAGAGATAAAATTAATTTTTAAATGTGCTAACAAATGAAATTTACATTATTTATATAAGTCTTTCGAACAATTCAACTTAGACAAATGGAATACCGTCTATTTCATGATTCGGAAATGGAAATTCACTGATTGCCGACTTTAATTACTGGCTCTTCCATCTCAGGAACGGTTTGGAATTTTGATTCGGAACTAATTACCTTTTTTGAATAATCGATCAAAAGGAATCATTTAAAAATATTTTCAAGATGGCCGCTTTTCCGGTTGTATCAGAAGGATACTGGAACTTTCGTATTTCAAATGGCACTATCATTTCTGATGGTATTTTTAAATTTCCGATAAAAAATCAGTATGATTTTGTTAATATGATGCTATGTCTAAATGACATGGTTTCGAAGTTATTTGACAATTTTTCACAGTTTCAGAGGTTCATTAAATTAGTCATATCACTGTTGTCTGACAACTTAGCAAAATGTTTTTTTCACAAATAGACAGCTAAAAATCTACTCTATTAAATGTTAAATCCTTTTATAAATGTTTTTTCGGATGCCGACAATTTTACCATTACACATTCTAACGAAAAAGTCAATCTCTTGTTTCTTCGCGGCGAAATAACCAAAAGTTAATAATATGCGTTTTTAGCGCATTTCCACAAAAATAAAAAAAAATGCGCTATTGTTTTGCCTTAGTGGCATTTTCTCAACGGTAAAATTCACAGTACTCGCGTTTTCAAGACACAAGACCCGAAATGAAAAGTGGTTATGTACTGAATTTTTAAATTTTTTATTCGTAGTTAGCGCTCGAAATTTCTGACTCTATGATGTGCCAAAAAATAGCAACTTTAAGCTTTGAGGAATCTGAATCTCTCGAAAAAATATATATTGAGCGGTTGCCACTTCCGTGAACCAAAACCGAATCTTCCCAACAACCTCCCCGGGATCATCCCTACCTATTTTTGTTAATTAATTAACGCTTTTTTCAAGATGGCATCTAGTAATTAAGGGAACCATTTATTCTCACGAACATATTTGATTGTTAAGCCCCCGATTTACACGGGAGTTGAGAGTCGTAAATTCCCATCCTACGTTAGTTCTTCTTTGCAGAGATTGCAAATCCCAAAGTTGTGTTGAGATCATTCTAAGCTGCCGTGTTGGAACACACAAAACTAAGTACGGTAGGAGTTATCTACTGTTGTCGCCGACACGTTGGATCCTACGATTTCAGAAAGCAATTAAAAGGCCAATACGCAACAGAATTTAAATACGTAGAAGGAAAATATGATCCCAAGGTTTAACAAGAAATTACGACTTCCACACATTTCTACATTTACTAAACTTTTGGAATTACCAAGCTTATACTTCGACCACCCTGTTTAATCTCTAAAAAGTTTAATACCGTGCGCACCCCTAAAAACATTAATCTTCAATCTTACAGGCAATTAAACAAAATTCAAAACGTCGGTCAAAAAGATGATCCATGTCCGTTTTTCGTTGTGAATCGTGACCAAAGTACATAAGTTTTACCTCTTTATATGTACTTCAACCTAACTGAAGAATGTCAATGTCAATAATATTATTATTTGCATGTGTCACATAACACACTTGGATATTGTTAATAAACAGAAGGTAAATTAATCGTTTGCTCCGTTTTGTCTTGTTTTTCAAAAAAGCAAGAGTATGAGGTATGCGGAACCATCTTCTCTTAATAAAATGTTCTAGTATGAAAAATTAAAATGGAAAATCGATGGCTGCAACTAGACTATAACGTATAACGCTTTCCTTTAGTACCCATTTAAGTGTTCCTCGCAGTAAAAGGATTACGAATTAAACGTCTCCTTTTTAAATGAAATTGGTAAGATGTTATTTGCCGAGGAGCAATCGAGTCGTGCCAATAAATGTGGAATCATGATAGACGTCCGAGGGCGGTAGAACAATTAAAGGAGATTCTGAACCATAACGATCTAATCGCCAGTTTTCGTTATCGCATCGCTTCTCCCAGAGCGAATCCACTAAAACTTTGTAATTAGCCGCGCGAGTTATTTTAGTAAAGCGTAGATATACAGTTGGTTATAACACTTCATAATTGCACTTTTTTATTGTAGTTCATTAGTGCTTCTTCCCGAGTATTATGCAGTTAAGTTGAAACAAACAGACCTATAAAATTTTTCCATGTTACTATTTTCGGAATGTAGGCATCAAAATGTGTAAATTATTAAAATACAAGTGTGGAAAGTCTCCCCGGCTCTTGGTAATTTCATAATTACACAAAAAGTTGCATAATGGTTCTTGCCTACTTATTTAACCCATACTCATTAAATTTTGTCGCTGAGTGTGGCGATATATCCATTCTCTTATTTGGAATGTAGATAAATAATTGATGTACAACTACTTTCCCAAATGTATTTTTACCTTGCCTTTCGTGCAATATAAAGGGGGTTCAGCATCAGTTCTTTGAAATACAATTGTCACCTTCTTCCAAGTTCTTAGTTTTTTTTTAATGAAAATTTACTTCAAACCCTATCCCCTAATAGTAAATATACATGCCAATACAAACGGCTTCCAATTTTCCAAGAGGTTGATATCTTTAAGAAAACACAGATCCAACTTTCCTTGATAACTGTTAAACTTCAATCAACTTTAATTTACGACAATCTTTCTTAAAGATGAACAACTTTTTTCAGAAATAATTTAACGATACCTTACGTTCAACATGCCCTTCTGCAGATTTCGGTCTTTATTACATTGGCAATATTTCTGGATTATCAATTTTTTTGTTACCAGCCAATCAGAGTTGCGAATTTTCTGCAAATTTTACAAATCCTACAATAGGAGATGAATTTATTCGCAATTTTGATCACGTACCCCTACGCCCTTTTTTATTTTGTAGTCTATATACTATGTGCTGTAAAGTCAAGATATTTATGAGCTCACAAACTGAAGTTCTGATATGACAATAAATAAACAATAATCCCATTCATTGAAAAAATTAAAGAACCTTCCCCAGTTAGGTTTCGTTAAAATACACATAAAAAATATGACTTAATTACAAGACTATTGGGGCAATTTTTTGTCTTTTACTTGACATTTCACACATCACCCTGATGTTTACGGTTTTTTCTACTGGCAACAAATGCAAAAGAACTAAATTGACAACACACATCTTAGTCTACTATATTTCAAAACTTCATAGAGATCCAGAAATTCCTGTGCGGTGAATAATTACCCTAGGGTAAGATCGCCGCTTTTGGTATTTGCAGCTCCTTTATGAGACATGGAAAAACTCCAAACAGTGTTGACAATTGAAGAAAATACAGCTCGTCCCAGGTTAGGTAGGTTACCGTTTATTAATTCAGCGATCACAATCTTTCTTTAAATGAAAGATCTAGGTTTACAAGTTCGTATTCACAATGTTGAGTCTATAAATAGATGCGCAATGTTTCAGAATGCATACTGCAATGCTGTTTACACTGTTATTTTTATGCTGTTTATAAGCGTTTTACGAATAATCATTCGTCGTTGCAAAACACACCCCAACTTTCTTTTTTTATATCACCCCCTAATTGTCATTTTTAGTATATTACACCCTACAACATTTTAATTCCGCCTTACGCCGTTCAATAGTCTTAACTATTTATTTTAGGGGCCTGGATGATGAGGTTACATGTAGCAACAACACACCTTTTAACTAATAAAAGGTCTCTTACAATTACATTTAATTCAACCACATTTGAAACCAACGATCCTTTTACGCACTTATACAACAGACCCTTAATAACGATTATGTCACATATACAGGATACTTTTTTATTGACCTATAAATTTAAACTCGAAGCTTTTACAAGTTCTGAAAATATCTTCCTAAGAATTGAAACCTCAAAACACAATTATGCTTTGTAAAATTTGAGATGAATTATTTGTCATTTTTGAAGAGTAGCGTTACCTTTTTGGCATCCTAACGCTATCTCCTAAAGTCATCCGACTTAAAAAAATTGAGATACCTACAAGATAGTGAACTGGATTTAAGGTAAATAACATTCCGAATGCAAACGCGCCCTTTTGACATCCTAACGCTATCCTATTTATCTGACGGAAGTACCTTCACCCACGTCACGACCAAAACTCGGGAAAATTACAGAGTACAACCCTGCATCAGGGAATCCACCCACCAAGGCCATGACCTCGGTGCAAAAAATCCAAAATGGCGTCTAGTGTCGCTTGTACTGTCGCGATTTATACCTTATGCACCGAACCACGATTCATTCTTATTTTAAGGGGTTTAGAGGTCTCGGAAACCCGCCCTAAATCTACTAATGTAATAGATATGACTCATATTCTGTTCAACTTTTGCTTAATGAATCGCGCTAACGCTTTTTAGTTTAGTTACGCGTTCTGGAGCCGGAAATTCGTAATAAACAGATTACCCCACTAAAATTTACAAAAATATTGACTTTGGCAGCAACTCATATATTTTTATAACGCGAAGCGATACTTTTGTCACGTAAATTTATTTTTAGTTTGGGAGGTTTACGCAAGCTAAATTAGATTAAATCCGACAGGCTTTATATTTGGGTGATATAGGTATTTTTTTATTATTCTATTTGACCAATGGCACGGTGTTTGAAGTGCACGATGGTCTTTTATACAGATAGTGCAGGAGTAATACCGCTTAATTTCTTCGTGGATGAGGTTGCAAATATGTAGACACCTACGTTGAGCCAAAGATCGTTTTCCGAGAGTATGAAAATAAGGCGCTAAGAAACATTCCGATTTCAATTTCGAAAAGCACTAATTTAAAGCTTAGCGGAAACAAATCACAAAAAGCACCAACTAGTTGTAAATAGACATTAGACTTTTCAACTAACCCATTTTCTCATAAATACAACTTGTAGAATAAGTGAACACTCAACGAAAGAATTCTCTACACGCCATTGTTAAAGCGGGTACTTACGTTAATCCCTTGTAAAGCACTGACTTGAAAAGCATCGAGAAAATCCCTACTAAAATACTGGAATAACAACAGTTACGTCTGCTGGTATCGTATATGTTTGTTTCAAAACAGTTACTTTAAAAGTTTACAACAAAATTTTATTAAATGCCCGTTAAAAACAGTGCCAAATAAAATTCTCTTCAATGACAAAGTCGATTGTATAAAACTGACAACACAAATTTAATGATATTCTTGGATTCCCAAGTATCCCAAGATCCCATTAATAAAATATATTCTTTCGTAGACCGAAGTTTATTCCAAGGGAAAGGGTGATTTTTTGGTTTACTGTTTTTCTAATTTCATTTAGGTTTTTCGGGTATTGTAACGCTAGCTCCCTTTGTAGTTTTAAATTTTTCCTCAAATTTAAAAATTACATACCTATGTACTGCTTCATACGAAAGGGATGGTCTTGAAAAACTAAAGCAAAAAAATACTTGAAGGGATAGAAAATAATCAATAATTGACGTTACAATCAATGAACTCAAAAATATTACAAATAGGTCACTGTAATATATAGATTTGCAATGTTAATACTTAAATTTGAATGAATGAGGGATGAACAAGTTTTCGGAGTAAGTATTATCAAAACAGGCTTATTGTGTAGAAAGCTATAATCGTTAAGTGAATCTCAAACAATAATGTAATAGCTAGAACTCGATTGTATAAAAACTAATATGTAATCAAACGTTAAATCAAGAAGTCGTCGAAAATAACAAAATTTAAATCTGGATTCTGGTCGTACCAGCCGGCCGTTTGAATTTAGAAGGGCACGTTCTGCAAATCTATAATAGACAATAACACAACAGACAATTAAAAGGGGTAGTGAATCGCGCTGCACATAAAAAATTGCAAAATAGCAATGCTAACGTCTGACACGGAGGCAATCGGATATTAAAACTGTAACTAATGCTCATAAGGAATCAAAAATTCGAATGATTTTACACTAGCAAAAGCAAAATTTTGATCAACCACGGCCCTCGGGTTATCCTCACAATTGTGTATATCAGCATAACCGTGACGTTAAAAATCCTTTGCACAAATAACTAAGTTTCTGTTGATATAATCAATTTAAAACATAAACAAGATAATATGAGCCGAACAGTAGTAGGGCCTCGTAGGAATAGTTACTTAAGCGGAATTTAAATCATGAATCTCAATTGGAAGGAAAATAAAGTTATATGATGAAGCTAGCGATGGCAGGGGTAACATTTGAAAGCCATATTCAAGGAGAACGACTCATAGGGAGGATAAAAGCGTATATTGAAGGTGAACTTTAATTGTAGAGGTGGAATGAAGAAATCAGAATGGATCATCGAGAGCATAGAAAAGCATTGAGAGAAATGATCGAAGACATGATCCAAGAAATTAGAGCCGACCAAGATCAATTGGTAGGGGAAGTTGAAACTGGCCAGAACCAAGGGGAAGAAGCACGTATTTAGCAGTACATCTGAAGATGAAGAGAAAGGAAACACAAATGATCGACGATTTTATTGAAAAAAAGAAGAAATTGAAGATGTAGAATTATTAGAGTCAACAAGAAGAAAATTAGAATTACTCAGTGAAGTGAAGAATTACATTGCCTATATATTTTAGCAAGATGGAGTTGGATCGACTTGGAAGCATGAGGGGGACTGTAGATATTTACTATAAGAAAAACTTGGATAAATTTCGGAAAATCAGTTAAAGAGAATCCAGTTAAGTTCGGGCAAGAGGCATGACGAAAAAAAGGATTATAAATTGGGAAAAAAAGACGAAAGAATACCTCGTTATAAATTAAACACAGGTGAACTTAAGAAATTAAGTTAAGTCAAGTGAAGTGAAGAAATCAAAGTGAAGAAGCCTGTATGTAGTTTTTCTTTTTACTTATTTGAGAGAACAATCGTAAACTCAGTTGAGTTTGGTACGCATTTTTGCGCAAATAGACACAAATGTCTCATAATCTACAAAAAGCATGTGTACTTAATTTTAACGTTGAAAATGAGCATAAACCTATTAATCCCGTAATTAATTAGACGAAGATAATTACTTTAATTGGTAAGGTAATCAAACTACACGGATATTGAATTGGAATTACGATAATTAATCTCCGTTAATTCAGAGGCGCCAATATGGACTTGTAATATACAGCAATGTGCGGTGAAAGTGTGATTGAAATTAGCTTTGAAACGCGAGGCAAGAGTAAACTGCCATTCTTTGATAGTGTTCTCACAAGGAATACATTGTACCAGCATCAGGTTTACGTATGTAGATGTACCTCTAAAAGATTCATAATTAACGATACAAAACACTGCACACAGCACACGCCCTATTTGTTTTTGGGATTAATTTTCCCCTTTCGCATTAAAATTACGTTAAACTATTACACCTCAGCAAGAAAATTGCTGTACACAATGCTTTTCCAAAGAATGAATTATTAATTTAACGTAAGGGAAGGAAAAACGAAACCATTTATTAGAAAATGGTGTACCTACTAAGATAAATAATAAATAATTTATTGAGCAGTTTTGGTAGTGTTTTTTGTTTCGAAAAATGGGTGAACGCATCTCGCGGTTGCAATTGCATTCTCTGAAAGAACAATTTTCAAGATTATACACGAATATTTGAACAAGAAGAAATCGTCTGCCCGATGGATTCTTCGGTTTCCTACACCCAAGCAGAAAATGGCGAGAAAAGATATTTGTCAAGAGCATTTGGACGTTTTGGCGAATGATGGCAGTTATTATTCGCTTATACGTCCATAAGGGTTCTCAAACCCAAAGAAAACCAAAAACTCAGCCTTCTTCTGGAAAATTGATAGGGACCATTTTTTTGGAACTGTTTATGGAAGTAGGCTGAATGCTTGAAGAAGAACCTATAAAGAAAAACGACTCATACCGAACAATGTAACGGGTGGCCGCTTTGCAGTTTCCAAATTTTTATTTTCAAATTTGTATTTTGTTCAATATAGGAAAATTTGCACATGTATCGCTTTATATGAAACATGCACGTAAGTAGGTGTAGTGATAAAACTTAGTAGTTCACAAAGCTGTCTACGATAAAGCAACGAACCTGCGTTGTTGCCGCAATGTTTTTGGTCTTCAAAAACGCGTCGGTTCCATTTTAAGCCGCCTTAAAAAGTCGAAATCAGGCTACCATATTGATCCTCTCTCTTACTCCCCCGGAAAATGCCGTTCCCTTTAAAAAATATGCAGAGAGACCGTTACAATGGTACAGACTTTTTATACCACTTCGTGGTGAATGACAAGCAAAAATGTCCATACTATCGCTAACTCCAACAAACTAGCCCCTAATTTCGTGAATATTGTTATTATGCACTGCCAAGTTCTGCTGTGTTGATATCAAATTTTGTAACTAATTAATTGAACTCTATGGTGTGAGTGCCCAATTAATCGTTTTTGTTTGCTGCCGAATGACATTCAGTCCAATTCTGTAACTAACAAGTTTGCAATATTGCTAACTATAGCAAGATTGCTCACACAAAATTCTAGCAATATTATGAACAATAATAACAAATTTGTCATTCTCTAACTACCAACTTGAGCAATATTGCTAATATTCCTACACTTCGTCAAATTGCTACGAAATAGTCAGAACTTAGTGACAGAGTGTTGTCACTGGGCCTAAAATTAGACGCATTAGGCCTACTGAACTCTTACCACCTAAATTCACAACTGTCTAAACTTTTTAATTGTAAGGTTAGGTTATTTTTGATTTAAGCTTAACCGATTATGCGCGTTGTGCTTTAAAAGTGACGTGCGACTTGTAATTTGTATTTGCTCGCCATGGAAAATACAGATACCAAACAGCGTGGCGGTAGAACAACATAGGAGCAACATTCCATAATTGTGGACAATTTAGAAAACAAGTAAAAAAGTTTTCGCCCTAAGGCGATTAACTAGCGCATTTTCCAATGCCCAATGCGATTATCTTTCCTAGAAGGATCTGTTATTAAAATTTCTCTATAAATAAGAAATAAGAAATTTGGCAGTTGCGCAGTTTGCGCATGCGCACGTCTGATGTTTACAATATGTGATATGCTTATCTTTATTAGAGACAGCTATGTTTAAAATTTCAAAAAAATTTCTCTATAAAAAGGGAAGTTGACATTGCGCCGTTTAATCGTCAAGATTTTGCTTGCCTCAGATGCCAGAGTTATACGCTACCCAATGCAAAAAGAACGAACTAAATATCTTGAACTGTACGAGTAGTTAAGGCCTCGGACAGACGGACAGAGAAAGTGGCTGCAATAGCGCACCCAACTTCTTTGGAAAATGCGCTAAAAATGCCATGTTAGTTCATGAAAGAACTGCTCCAAACAAACGGTATTAAAAACTATATGAATTATAGGAAGAATTGAATCTTCAACAGCGTTTAAAAATTCGTATTTAAACCATCCACCTGCCATATTTGAACTTGCTAAGACTTAACAACAGCACTTTACCTATTGCTAGGGTCAAGCAATTGAATTGTTAAAATGTTAGGCAACATTGCTAGGTTTGTCAGTACAGAATACCACTTTTAACAAATATTGCTTATCTAGCAATTACCTTCACTATTAGCAAGTTGCTAAGGTTATTTTAAGTTACAGAATTGGACTGATTGTGTACAAAATATTATTTATTGCCCAAAGCGCTGCACAACTGTTTTACGCAACTTTGAATGGAACAGATTTTGAACAGCCGTTACCGTTAGCGATGCGAACAAAGAAAAGGCTTTGTTTATCAAAACGAGTTTCTTTTAAATTCCGTACATTTAATTTCGTTTCTATGGGGAGAGCGCGTCTCCAATTCGAAAACGTTCCCTCACGTAAATGTTATAACCTGTAAATGAATGTCCTTGCTACAAACTAAGTAAAATTAAGCAGGTAATTCGCACTTTGCCACCAATTTACTTAGAAGCGTTTCCTAATGACGCGTTCTTAGTTACGCATTAACAACAATAAATGGCAGCGACGTTCTTGATTGGAAATTTCTACTTAACATAAAAACCGGTAATACCGGTTCACAGTTTAGCACAACTGAGTTAGTAAGTAACTGCTTAGGAAATTAGCGTACCTGCCTGGTGGTCCTTGAATTTTGACCACTAAATTTTCGCCAATACGCCGTATTTTTCGCACTCATGGGGTACGTGCTTACTTCTTTAAAGTTCAACCTCGACTGCCGTCTAAAATCCCCGAACACGCAGTCTAATCAAGCATTGCATCTCAAATTGCACACCTTTTATTCAAAGATACACGCGTCGTTAACGCGTCTTATTTTCAGACGTAATTTTGTTTCTGTTCGCTATAAAGCGGTACATGTGCAAATATTCCTATGCTTACTGAAATAGGAATTCGAAACATTACTTTTTAAAAAACGGCTAAAGCGACCACCTTTTACATGTAAAAGTGCACATAATTATCTGAAATGTGGGTGCTTTTTTTTTCATTTGAAAATGTCACTTTTATTCAGAGACATTTTGGTTCAATGTAGCGAAATCAAAACGTATACCTTCGTATTTTTTGCACTCTCATAGGATGCCGCCATTATGTAGCACATAATGAACATGTTCCGACCAAATTCAGCAGGCAATATTTTTTTTAACTTAAACGCACCAAAACCTGTAAGTGTTGGGCTATTCCCCAAGAGAGTACCTATCATTGGATCTATTAGGCATTTGAAATGATTTGACCCATAAAGATTGACTTCGGCATATTCAACAAATGATACATAACGGTTCGGAGACCGCACGGCAGCGGTAACAGTTCTTGAAGCCTGAGAATCCCCCCGCCTCCACCCCAACCAATATTAAAGTCATGTTATTCGGCAAAACAGTGAAATGGTGGACCAATCACCATGATTTTTTCATAAGAGCTCAACGTTTTGGGGACTATCTCTTGCCACATTTGCGGTTTCCATTAAACGCCAAGTTTTTTCAGATACAATGAAAAGCTCGATTGCAAGATGGCACGATAGTTTAAAAACGTTCCATTTTCCAAGATTTAATTGTTATAAATTATATGGTGGCATGGTATACGACCAGCTGTTAGATAATTTTATTGCAAGAAAAAGTGAAAGATTAGGAAACACATTCTTTCCGTTCATCAAAAGTTTTGACAAATTTTGGCGTTGACAAAGTGACAGTACTTTAACTAAATGATTGATGTTTATTTATGTTAATTTTATTAACTTAGCCTTAGCCTTAGACTTTTCTTGCTTGCAGTGTACTTAATTGTTCAAAATAGAAACAACTCTTTAATTTGCAGTATTTTACACAGACAATACGACTAAAAATAAGATAAACTAATAAGCAGAAAGAACGCAAGGAAGGAAAATTTCGGTTTAAGTACCCATCTTGATATTCACCCCAGTAGTAGTGCTATATGAATTATATGTTGGGTTATAAATTTAGTAGAGTTAGAAAATACAAACCGTCCTCAAACGACTTAAATTTAGTCTTATGCATATCTAATTTTATCCCTCCTTGACATCCTCACTTTTAATTTTAGATTCCCGAAATGGTTCACTTAGTGGATCTGAGCACTGTTGCACTTTTGTACCTACTGAAAATGAATAAGCAGCTTTATTTTTTACCTTGTTCTACTAGGGTTCTTAGTGAATTGGTTTGTATTCAATGGTAGTCCAAACGAAGAAAAAAAATACGTGCGATGCGCCGGTACCTTTCAATACTTCATTAACGACGGAAATAATTTACTTAAAGCGATACACTTCCTTCCTTTAACACTAGAACTGTCTTCGTTTTATCGATATAAAGCTTTCATTGAAGTGCTCGACTGCTTTACGTTAACGGCGACGAAGCTTTTAAACGTTTTTATGAAACAGTGTATATAGGTAAATCGTTTATTGCAGATGTGGGACGAGATTATTGTACGATAGACACATGGCTGGTGAGAAAAGGGTTACGGAAGTGTGGCAATCTAATTTGAATTTGTACGAAACTATTAAGTATTTTTAGAAATGTGTCAAATTCAATTTTTAATTTTAAACATTTGGCTGTACAAATGTAAGAGGTACGGTTTGTTAGTTATTTTAAGGCTAAGTAAGTACACTTGACATTTCTTTTTATATTTGTCACCTTTCTTTGATATTCAAATTAATTTACTGAAAATTGAAATCGTTCCATAGCAAAGTCGCAATAATTTAGTAACTGTAGCTGTTGCTACAAACCTGTTTCTCTCCCATAGTATTTGTACTTTGAAAACTACCCAACCACTCCGTATTCTTGTAGTAGAGTTCTTTGTTTTGCCGTTAGAGACCATCCAAGTGTTATAGACTTCTTATTGCAATAGTTCTTTGCTTCACCGGCCGAGGTCGTGCAGATGTTTTCCATGGTATTTCTAATTCTATTCCCCTTTTCATTTTATCTTGCCCACTTGTTGTATTTCTCACGCAGCGAAAATTCTGCCGTCATATTGGTTACATGCAAATTTTTATTTTGGTTTATTACTTTTACTGACTTCGGGATTATTGTTTTGGCTGTCACCATATGGCTTCGGAGTGGTTTCTCTTTTATCTTGATGTCTGTGACTGTGCTCCATTGAAGCGGATTTGTATTTGCATATAAACACTACGAGGTATGTTAAACTATTACTCAGCATTTTTCTTAATATATTTTTTAGGGCTTTATCTTCCCTCAAGTTTTCGTCGAAGTGATATGGTTAAAAATGAGGAAGTATTAAGAAGAGCAAGAGAAGAAAGACCAATAGTAGAAAGAGAAAGAGGAACTGGTTGG